CAGCCCAAAAAAAAGTTTAGTTTTAATTTTTTCAGTTTTGTTTTAACAAATATTACACCACCTATATTAATCCTAGCTAATACTTTCAGAACAAAACAGATAATAAAATAAAAACCCTTAAAATGAGAAAACTACTGACCCAGTTCGAAAAATTGAAAAAGGCTAGTGAATTATACAATTCGACTCTATAGTTTGACATAAAAAGGAAGATGTCGATCTAATCGAGTCAGAAAATTGAATAGAGCATAGAGTGGTCTCTTTCCGAGGGATTTGCAATCTCTATAGGGTATAAAGCTGTCAATGCCCCAGATTAGTTCAAAATCGAACTGGCCCAAAGTGGCACTAAACTGTTTTTCTAGGACAAAGAAATACTTTGATGCTTTCTTTTCTATACTTTTAATCTGAACTATTTCTAAAGATCACATTCAAAATAGTTTATCGATATACATTTACATAAATCGGCTTATTTGCTCATATTTAGAGTTTTTTTTGTAAACATAAACTATCTCTCTCTCTCTCTACAGTAAGCCCCGGATTTTCAAGCATACCGTTTAAAGAAAAATTAAAAAAAATGACAATATAGTTGAATTAAATATTTAATTTGAAAGTCCTAAAAATCAAAACGTGTTTTCTATGGTAATATAATTTCTTTTTTTTCCTTATTTGATACTTTGATACTGTTTTAAAATGTCAAAGAGGCACACCATTTATTTAGTTCAATGCTACAGAAAGGGTGATAATAGTTATCGGAAAATGTGATACTTTGACAACAGTAAAAAAATATGACGTGTTTCAAAATTAATAATAAACATCTATGAAAGAATGAAATCGAATTTATATTACCATATAAACACCTTCTGATTTTTAGGACTTTTTTAGAAACAAAATTCAACCATATTTTCATGTTTTCTTTAATTTGCTCTCATACGGTATGAAAATTTGGAAAATCATAAAAGGGATTAACCATTTTAGAACAAGGAATTTTTTTTATAATGAATGCAATTTTCTCAAAATATCGATAATAAAAAAGTTTTTTCCTCTTGTAAAGACAATCCGGGGACATACTGTATAGATTAGGTACTTTTTATATTTTTGTGATGTATTCATTTCTGTTTTATTTACTGTTTATCTACATTATAATTTTATGTTGTCTTGTCTCGGATTTGGCTTTACTACTGGGCAATTGCCGGATAATTTTTTATTTTAATTAATTCTTCTTAAAATTGCAGACAAAATGGCGAAGGCCGACAAGAAAATTAATAAACAATGTCTAACCACAGGTCTATATCTACGCTACAATCTTTTGTGGCGGGTTCATTTCTTGAAAAAGTTTTTTTGCCACTGGATGAAAATTCACAAAGTAAGAATAGTACATTGTTTATTAATGACACAATGTAAAAATGACACTTATTCTTGTGGTGAGGCTGTACGTTTGATTTTGACAACACACAGCCGAGGCACAAAAAGTCATTTTTACTCGTAATAGAATATGCATTTTTTTTTCAAACGCCACAAATAATTTGAAACGTTCCAAATAATATAAAAATATTTAAAAGTCATACCTTTTATGTTATTCTACAGGGTCGCTGTTATGTATGGAAACGGTCGATTATTAGGTAAAATATAGGAGGTACCGCAAAAACTTAAATACAAAAGCTGTCGGATTTTTAAATATCTATTAGCGAATAATAAATATACAGGGTCGGTCATAATGTCGTGGCACATAAAAGTTTCATTTCTATAAATAGTATCCCCTGTATATTATTACATATTTGAATTTTTCTTTCAATTCTAAGCAAAAATCGAAATATACACAATGTACCTCAAACCAATCGTTTCCGAGTTATTGACTTTCGAACATATCACTTAAACAATTTGATTTAATTACTTTCGATATGTTCAGTTTCATTTAATGATGCTGTTCTGCCAAATCTGTGATACTGTTGTAATGAGTTTTTAAATGCCTATTAGCTACGAGTAAATTTAAGTATACAGGGTGGGTCATAAACTTTTGGCACATCAAACTTTATTTTTTTTAAATGGAACCCCCTGTATATTATTGCATATTTCAATTCTTCCTTCAATTTTAAGCAATAATCGTAATACACAATGTACATAAATTGAAGAATTGAAATGTTAAACGAAGATTTTGTAATTTCCACACTTGATATAATCTCATTTTATACATCTATAAATGCTAACTTGAGAACTAATGTAAAATATTATGAAGTATCGGCAGAATGGCATCGTTAAATGAAACTGAGCATATCGAAATTAAGTAAATGAAATTGTTTAAGTGATATTTTCAAACGTCTACATTGTGTGGATTTCGATTTTTGCTTAGAATGGAAGGAAATATTGAAATATGCAGTAATATACAGGGGGTTCTATTTAAAAAAATAAAACTTTTATGTCCCACGACTTTACCTGCGTATACTTAAATGTATTACTCGCTAATCGATATTTAATAATCTTATATAACTTTTGTATTTAACTTTTTGCGGTACCTCCTATATTATACCTAATAATCGACCGTTTCCATACATAACAGCAACCTTGTATATCAAAAAATCAATATCAAATTGTTGAATTTGACAATTTATGTCAGTTTAATAATATATTTTTGTACTTTTATGCTTAGGCGTAAAAATGCCTTTTTTATATCGCCAAACACGTCGCAAAAATTAATACTTTTGTGACGTTTGAAAAAAAAGTAAATTTTTGTAAACACCTTGAGACCTTTCTTCAGTGAATTTTTACTAGTAAAACTAATTTTCCTAACCGATAAAACATACCAAGAACGACGGGAACGTTTAAATTTCTTTAAAAAATTATTTGAAGCGACCGTTTCTTACTGATTTCTTGACGTTTGAAAAATAATAGTATGTTCTATCTGAGTAGGGGTCGATTCCTTTGTGCCCTGCCCATACTTCTCCCAGATTCGCTTACGCTCGTACCAACATACAGCCCTTCACAAAAGTATAAGTGATTAAATCCCAAGACCAGTTTAACCGCGATTATTTTTTCGGCTTCCTTTTGGGTTTTCTTTTTGTCGTTTATCACTAATTCTGAGAGATTTTGGCAACAGTTCATTTAAAAACATTGATTTACAACTCATATGTATGACTTAATAATGATTTGAATCGGTGAAAACCCCTTATTCGATATTATTTTGAACAAATAAGTGGAGAAAAATACGTCAGAATTTGATATGTTGACATGCGAAACGGTCCTCGATGCATTGTTGGGATGCGTAACCAAGGTAGCAAGAACAAACATTACTTACGAGACGTCATTTTGAAATAAATAATTAATATATAATTTTTTATAGTTAATAAAATTCTTATAGTTATTTGCTTCATCCTAACGATGCATTGTTGGGATGCGTAACCAAGGTAGCAAGAACAAACATTACTTACGAGACGTCATTTTGAAATAAATAATTAATATATATTCTTTTATAGTTAATAAAATTCTTATAGTTATTTGCTTCATCCTAAGTCATTGGCTTCATTCTAAGTCATTCCGGAAATAATTTAGCCGTATATCACTCAACCTATAAATTTAATTGATTAAGCTACCCAAATAATTTTTTGCATGATTTTGCTTTTTAGAAAATAGTTTCATGCAGAATAATTTTAGAATATTATTGTGCATTCAACTATTTTCCAAGCAAAATCACGCGCAAAATATATTTGAATAGTCTTATTGATATAATATATGATTATTTTTAATTTTTACGTATGTTATGTTCTTTAAAATCAAAGAAGCGATTGCCATAAATTACTAACATCTACAGATGCATGAGCAATACATTTACTATAATGAAAGAAGCGATAGCCTCTAAAAGAGGCTTTTTTAATGCAATCTGATAAAAGTAAATGTATTGCTCATTAATGCTCATAGATGTTAGTAATGTATGGCAATCGCTTCTTTGATTTTAAAGAACATAACATAAATTAACATAACATACGTAAAAATTAAAAATAATCATACAGAAAGTTTGGGTTTTTTTGGTTTTACTCTATTAAGTAATTGTTATCAGGTAGTAATTGTTAATTTTGAAGTTTAACTTGATATCATGTCATTTTAAAGGTATGATTCCGAAGACGGCGACAGCGACAAGCAACCGCGGCAGACGACAGCGACACCTGTCGTTACTGTGTTGCGACTCCTCCGATCTTTTAGAATCAAATGGAGTAACGTCGGAGTCCGACGACAGGTGTCGCGCGACAGTTTTTATCCAACATGTCGTCTAAGCGACCGACGACGCTACCGGTATTTGTCCAGTAATGTCGTGTCGTCATTCATATGCACACCCAGAATTTTGACAAAATTGGAAAATTATAAAAATAATTTGATTAAGGATAATTTTTATGAGTAAGAAATAACTTCTTTCCCGAGGTCTGTTTTTAAACAGAGGCAAAAATGGGTTTTCTTCTTTTCTTTCCAACATGTAACAATAATATTTCGTCCCCTTCATCATCTTCAATCAGTAATTCAAGTAACACATTTTTATCAATCACGTAATCAGACATATTTATTAATTATTATAACTACTTCGCGAACGTCATTTAAACACTGACAACTACATCGTAGATCTCGCTCATATTGTCGCCGACATCGACAATGATATGACGACAGCGATAAGCGACACTGTCGCCTGTCGTTGTCGTATGTCGCGGTCGCTTGTCGCTGTCGCCGCCTTCAGAATCATACCTTAACAGAACGTCAACGGTTTTTGTAGACGTATCTGTTTTAAAAAACTAAAGTGTTCTCGAATAGTTGAATTTAAATATTTTAAATAGTTTTTTTCTTCATTCTTTGTATTTTTTTTGCTTCCGACGACCGAAAGAGATAAACTTTCCGAAACGTTAAGCATTTTTTTGTTCGTTAGGCAAATTTGTATATCTGTAAACCTAACTTCTGACAAGTAGTTTCCGTTTGGATTAATGCAGAAGTGTTTATAAAAAATAACTATTTTATTTTGTAGATTTTCTTGCAGTGGGCGAAATACCCACAGAGGATTTTTTGGAGATATTTTATTTTATTTCTCCAATTCCCCCCGAAGATCTCTTAAGAACTATTAAAAAAACAATAAGTAATTATATTTGTTTAACCAATCTGGCAGTAATGTTTTAATGTGATTGTTAATTAACAATAGCAACTACGGTATTAGGTAATATAATCATTGTGAAGACAAGGTTAAGGTCTAAGGTACATATATAAAAATCCCGACATCTTTCAATTGTATTTTAAAACATAAAAACCATTAAACTTGAAACATCATGTACTTTATAGTGAGTAAAGTGATTTAATAAAATTAACTTTTGTTTTATATTTAAATCATTTTTAGATATTATTGATGTGTTGTTCTGATATAAATGGTGCCTTAATTTCTTCTTCTACTGAAGTGATACAAGATACGAGTAGTGATGATAGCATTTTTAGCAAATTGTTGACAAAAAATCGCATAACAGAAGATGAAGCTTCAGTATATACAGATAAAGTACCTGATTATGGTTCAATATTATCAAATTATGGTTCACATTATATGGGGAATCCGCAGTATCTTAAAGACTTCAGAAATGCCCGACATGGAAACTACAAGAATTCACCTATAATAACTCCTAAACATGTAGGAGATGATTTACATCATTACAGTAATGTATTCTATGATGACGGTTCATATAAGCCTCATTTAGTTATTCAAAAATACTAAATTAGATTCTTTCACACTTTTAAAATACTATTTTTGGTTTGTCAATATTCGGCATTTTTAAATTACTTTTCTTTAATTACTTCGTATAAATTTTGATTTGGATATAATAACAAATATAATTTATATAATAAACAAAGTCATTCAATGATATCACAAAGAATGCTGTGAAAATAATTAAACAAAACTAAGCTTTTATGAAAGCTTGGCATCAAACATTTAAATTAAGTTTTAAAAAAGCTTGACTTTATGTTTACCACTCAAAATATTTTCTTCTTATAAAGACAAATTTAATAAAATTAATAATATAGTTCTTTTATCATGTATGAAGCTAATAAATATTTTACAATACATTTGCTAAAGTTAGATATGATTTTCTGTAGGCAAACTGTAAAATCTATGATAAATATAGTTAAGAAATACAAAGAATTGCAATACAATATAATTGTTTATTATTCATTTTTGGCATTTTTGATAGGTACAATAATTAAATAGATTCTTATAATACTTGATTGTGGACTCGGAAGACTGAATTTGAAAAAAATACACTGCTACGTACATATAAACAATATATACAAATAGACTGATTATATACAGTATTCAGTTAGTGATGACACAATCTCACTTAAATTATTTTTTTTAAATCCTCCCTAATAATGATAATGATGAGGTTTGTAAGATCCATCATCGTACAAAGTTTCGCTGTGGTCATGTACGTATTGGCCTACGTAACCGTTGTTGTCAACATCGTAATGGGCTACAACTGGAGCAGAGTAAGCTACAACTGGAGCAGCGTGAGCTACAACTGGAGCAGCGTAAGCTACGGCGGGAGCGGCATGAGCTCCGTGTCCAGTGGAGATGGTTCCGGAGGGTCCAGCTACGACAACACTGTCGTGTTTGTAGGCGGAGGAGTGAGCAACAACGGTAGAGTGAGCTGGAGCGGCGTGAGCTGGAGCGGCGTGAGCTGGAGCGGCGTGAGCTACTACTGGAGCAGCGTGAGCTACTGCAGGGGAAGAGTAGACTACAGGGGCGGCATGAGCTACAACTGGAGCAGCGTGTGCAAGAACTGGTGCGGCGTGAGCTACGAATCCTGGGTGCTCTTCGTGTACGATTTGACCTCCTGGGGCATGAGCGGAGATTACACTACCTTCAGGACCTACGAGGGTGGTTTTGCTGCTGGGTCCTTGCAGGATGTGGGCGGATGGACCTACCAAACCGGCACTGCAGGCGGCCACGCAGGCAAAGAAAGCAACGACAGCCTAACGATAATAAGCATGTATTGAATTTATTATGTTTTACGTTATAAAATAGAAAAATTATATCTAGAAGTTTATAATGGACTTTTATATTTAATTTTTAAAAGAAAAATAGCTTTCATGAATATTAAAAGCAGATCTTAACTTATTTATGTTTTGATATATCATTCCTTTATTTCCTTGAAATTTTAAAAAGTTTACATATATTAAAAAAATCATAAAAATAATAGTAAATTTTAATTAGTAGTAAAATTATAAAGATAATAAAAGTAATAAATAATAAAATTAATTGTCAACTATATTTTTTAATTAATAAATAAGTATTATTCACTTTAAAAATCTTCTGTTAAAAAAACATTTCTAAAAAAATCATAGAAGTAATACTTACAAAGGAATTCATAGCTACTTGTTCGTTATGTGTAAACGATCAATTGATACCTACAGTTTGCGGTTTGATTCTTTTATAGTTAAAATGACGACCTTGCCCTCCAGATTGATCTTAAAATCCGGGTTAACGCAGTACAATATTACTAATCATAGTAAAAAAACGTATCAATAACTGATTTAATAGTTTTCTATATTTTTTTTGAAGGGTTCATTAAACCGTCCTTATAGAGGTGAGAGGCTTAGACGTCTCCTTTAATTACGCTTTTATTAAAACATTTAAAACTACTTGCAAAATGAAAGAAAGTAATGTTGCAAATATAAAAAGATTTAAAAATAATACCTTGCAAGTAATTATAGAGGATGAGTCTTAAATAAGTGCAAATATTTTTAGGGGTAGTATTTTTCGCCTCCAGAAACACACAACATAAAATCTTCATGATATAGAGAGTAGATTAAATTTACACGAAAGAAAACCCAGAAAAGATCAATTGAAATCAATTGAAATTTTTAACATAAAATATCTCGGTTATTTTAGACTTAGGTATTTTGGACTTGAAAAACGGCAAATTATTGAATGCAGTGTGCATTCACCAATTAATAGAATACTTAAATGCTCCTGATTTTATCTAGTCTGTTTTTTTTTATGGGGATATGTTTAAAACAGTGTTTAAAAACTCGATCAACTATTGTCGACAACATGAGAGAAATTATTGTAGCTGTTTCTCGAGGTAGAACTCCATATATGCCTTTTAAAATGAAAAGACCCTTTTGAAAAGACAATCATTTTATGCAGTTAACAGGAAAGGAAGCATTTTGAGTATTTGATTTTATCAAGCTAATTTTTGTTACATAGTTATAAAAAATATACATTTAAAATATGTTTTAAATGTGTATCTTTTGCGTTGAGTATTTTACTCAACAATTATAATTTTTGTTAAATTAACAAAAGGTATATCACACAGCCCACAGATTTTTTCAAATAATAAAGATATACTGACACAAAATCATAAAAATTAAAGTATCTGGAAAATCTTTATCCAGGGTAGCCAACCTTAATACAGTATCTGCTGTCGGAAGGAATAAATATGTTACTAGTGATTTTATTTTGTGAGGACAATTGCTTGTTGGTCTGAAGGGTTTATGCTCAAAGATATCCAAATAGGAATGTTCTTGACAAGCGTTCTTTGAAAAACTACTTTTCCTATTTCGCAAAGCTGATAGTGTGGTATATGAAAAACCTATTAGGGAGAAACCTGTCATTGGAAGTGAAGAAAATAAATTTTCGCTAATTGGCTCTTTTATAGAAAATCTAATATATCTACAAGTCATCGTAATATAAATCAAAGAGCTACTTCTTTATTTTTCTTGATAAATAATAAATACATACTTATTAAACTATTGTAGGTAAATTCAATAAAAGTAAACAGTTAAATAAACTCCATAAACTATTGTCGATTTTGAAAATAGCTACTAACTGTCACTAGCAAATTGCGATGGTGACACAAGCCATCTTGATTGCCATTTTATTGAAAAAATCGCTTTTTATTTAAAATCTGAGCCAGATAAGTATAGGAAACCCTAATATAGTTTGAAAGAGCAATAAAATCTGCTTCGACTTATTCAAAAAAATACATAGTGTTGTATTTAAAATAACGAAGTTTTTATGTAAAATAAATATTTAAAATAGACCAGCAATTTTTGATACCCCTGTATATATTTAAAAAAGCAATACATTTTTTTAGTAAAGTTTATTTCACTGGCTTCAAAGTCAGCACAAGAACTAACTCTGAAAAGTAATTTACAGGGTGCGGACAAACTTTTTTATTATAGCATGAATATTTAAATATCTTTAAACATCTCAAAAACCAAAGCATTTAAACATATTAAAGCTTTATAATACATGCCTTATTTTATGCCCAAGAATTCAAAAATCAAATAAAATACATAGGGTGTTCCATAAGAAAAAATATAACTTTGGTATGGATCTTAGTTCTGACACACCCTGTACATTTCAAAATAATTTTTATGCACATTGCCTTCCTACATATGCTCATAAAATATTTTGTTTCTACATTTTTCCGTTTTCGTATAATCAACCGAGGCGAATGATGTGCGCCACTCTGTATAATTTAGTAATTTTATTGTTATTTTAATTTTATTAATTATGATTAATAAAATTCCGTTTTTCTCATTAAGGAGGTCGAAAACTTCTGAAACTAATTTTTTTGTTGAAAATATCAAAGTGAGCTATGAGGAAGCGCATCTAAAATATTATTATGCGCATCTAAATATCATGTGTCGCGATTATTTTTGAAAAATAAAAAAAAATAATGTATTTATTGGAAGTTAAAAAATAACCCTAGAAACCATATAAACAAATTTCCTCGCTCGAGATGGGTGTGGCAGCATTACTTTTCAAGTCCACGGTCAAAGTCAAGACTGGTTTCGGCAATATTAATTCCTGTTTTGCGGAGGCAGAACATTATTGTTACTTTATATATGTTAAGGCACAATCAGTCATTAATCAAAGTAGATAATTCTTGAAACATTACGCACTTAAAACTATTATTCTTACTTAATATCCCACAACTACCGTTAGGTATACTTGTTCAGATTTTCTCCTAAATAATTTGAAGGTTATTTTGCCGTATATGGAGAATATGCGGCTTTAAGTGTAATTTTTTATTACAAATGCATGGAATTTAGAACTTTTATAATTATGAAACTATAAAGCATATATTATTATTGTGACATTACTCGTAAGGATTCTATTAGGTATTCAAAAAATTCATTATTTAAGAAAAAAAATATATATTCCAGGTGCGTCTCGAAAGTGGCTCGCCCTTATAACTTTTTTATTTTTTCAGATAAGAAAACGAGATTTGGTACGTTAGTATATCACATAAATTAGGATTCCCTGACGTATTCAATTGTTTTTTGTCACTTCCTGTTTAACCGGAAATGACTACAACTTTTGATTTGTAAATGGCACCCTCAGCATATTTTTATTTTATTCGATAGAAAATGCCACTCTCAATAGAATGACATATCATATGTCACGTTTTGACATTTTCAAATATAGTTTATTTGAAATTGTAACATTCGGTTCATGACAACAATTTGACAGGAAATACCAAGTGTGTGGTATCAAATTATTCGTAAAAAAATGCTTTTTCCAAATATGCTAATGAGACACTCTTGTCTCATTTCAAAAAATTGAGATATTATTAAAAATACGATTTGGGCATCTTTTACCCGGCCAGGACAAGACACGAAAAACATTAGGCCATCAAATTTATTTTTCCAAGGCTCCTTGACTAAAGATTAGTGTTTTTAATGCGGCCATGGCACTCTCAATAAATTTAAAATACAATTTTTTTAGGCGAAAATGTTAAAAGTTGACATATGTCATTCTATTTAGAATGTCATTTTCTATCGAATAAAGTAAAAATAAACCGAGGGTGGCATTTAAAAATCAAAAGCTGCAGTCATTTCCGGTGAAACAGGAAGTGACCAATAACAATTGAATACGTCAATCAATCCTAATTTGTGTCAAATACTAACATACCAAATCTCGTTTTCTTTGATGAAAACATAAAAAAGTTATAGGGGTGAGCCACTTTTGAGACTCACCCGGTATATTAAACAAAAATTACATAAAACTTGTGAACAATAATAATAAAATATTTAAATGAAAAAAAAGTATATCCTATGTATTGTGCTATTAGGAGTAAAAAGAATACTTTTTTGGCGAGGCTGGTACGTTTGACATTAAAACCGAGGCACTAAAAGTAATTTTTACTCCGAATAGAATATGCTATTTTTTTTTCAATGCCACAAATAATTTTTAAACAATCTCAAACGTTGCAAATAATATAAAAAGATTTAAAAGTAATACTTTCTAAGTAATTACCTACTATATATTGAGAAACTATGGCTGCATTCGCTGAACTTGACACTTTATGTAAATTTAATAGTATACTGGAACGTTTGAAATTGTTTAAAAAACTTATTAGATGGAGTTTGCAAAAAATAGCGTCTTCCATTCCGAGTAAAAATTACTTTTTGTAACTCGACTGTGTGTCGTCAAACGTACAGCCTCGCCGCAAAATGTATCATTTTTATTCCTATTAAAACAAATCGTCAACGTCAATCCCGTCACAAAAATTAATGCCTTTGTGACGTTTGAAAAAATAGTATATTGTTTTATTAGGAGTAAAAATGACACTTTTCGTGGCGAGGCTGTGTGTTTATGGCTAGTCGAGACGAGAGCGAGAGGAGAGCGAGAGGAGAGCGAGACGAGAGCGAGACTGCTTCGATCCATTTTGCGAGACAAGCTCGCCACCAGATATGCAAGTTGGATCATAGTGATGTTGAAGCATCTCAGGTAATAAAAAAATATAAGGCATAGATGTTGGTGTACTGAGCTCTACAAAAGAAGAACCGGTCAGGAGCATGATTTAAGCTTTTAGCACATTAATGGTCATTACAAAAATTTTACAAAATTACTCCTATTGACTTCGAAAATAGATTATTCTGGATACGCAGAATCTAAAAATAAAATAAAAAATATGGTATTGTATTTAAAAAAACACATGTTATATCAGCCACTCTATTTTGAACCACCCTGTATACTCTATAATAATTTTAAAATGTCCTGTTTCACAGAAAATTATTACAACTTTTGATTTTTAAATTATAGCCTCGGCATCTTTTAACTTTATTTGATAGAAAATGACATTCTGAATAGAATAATATATCATATGTCAACTTTTGACATTTTTAATTAGAAAAAATAATATTTGAAATTTCAGTCTAGAGTGCCATGACTAAGTTAAAACCATTCCCAGCAAGCAAAATTTATTGCTGGAACATTGCCAAAACTTCGCAAAGCAAGGTGTAACATTGCTTTTTTCATTGTAGGGAGGTTTATGCAAGGTTTCAGGGTAGCTTAATATTCCGCCAAATAATATTGCAGTGCAAGGTTGCATTTCACAATATTATTGAAACATTGCTAATGTAACGTTCTAGAAAGTACTAATTTGGGATGTATTAGTAATATTGTTAATTTTATACAATATACCGTATGATCGAATAAAAACGGCGTCAGCGATGGCTATGAAATGAAGATCGCTGTCATTTTATATGTAAATTTATATAGGAAATGCCATCGATCGTCATTTCCAAACCAACTGGACGCCGTTTTTATTCGATCATACGGTATAAAATTATATTATTAATTATAATTAACTGACTTATTGCTAAAATAATATAGCAAAAAATAGATAATGTTTGCATTAAAAAACCATTTCATTCATCAGAGGAAAAATATAAAAACTATTTTTTAATATTTACTTATCAATTAATGAAATAGTTTCTCTTGCGAACATTAGCAATTTTATGCAATTTTATGTTAACAATAATACATTGCAGTAATAGGTTATAATCAACAGCAACATTAATGGGTATTAAATTGTAGACTTTCAGATAGGTAT